CTATCAAAATCGAGAAAATTGAAACTATAAGGACCAAATTGACACATCGTGTAAAGTACAGGGACCAAATTGACACATTATTTGACTTCCGTTAAATTAATTTAACAACTGTTATTTATTAGACTAAAACAACACAATTCGTTAAATTAAGGGACAAAATCGAGCAAATTGAAACTATAGGGACCCAATTGACACATCGTGTAAAGTACATGGATTATTTGCATAATTTATCCAAATTCTTAAGACTAAATGAATCAACATTCTCCTATATGAGATTTATGGATAAATTTTCCTTATTTGTGAAGATGTGAGGGTTTTTTTTTTAGTCAGTGGGTTAGTAAATTAGATTATACTGAAAGGACCGCACTCACTCCATGAACTCAAAACCTGAACATTTGACATTCTCACTGTCCTAAGAGACAGATACATGGACTATTGAGCTAACCATCCTATCTGATGTGAGTTATACTATACAAAATGTTGAATTTAAATCATTTAATAATTTTTAAATATATTTTTATGCTTGAATTTTGTCCACATATATTTACTGATTGCATAGTAATTTGGCACCAACTTGCATTAATTCCTTTTCTCCTTGTGAAATTTTTGATATGTTAAAAAGTTGGAATTAGGGACTAATTCAAAATTTTAGCATAGAGAAACAAACATATATTAATAATTTCTTTAAAAAAAATATGAACTATATCAATTTCTATTAATATAAAAACTAAAAACAAAAATGAAATATATATATATATATATATATATGTATATAAGCATATTTTCTTGGATTCGTGTTGGGTTACCAAAAAAAAAACAAAACAAAACGTTGGGCCACATAAAATATCAACCCTAAGTCAATCTATCTACTAAAATAAGACATTTTAAGCAATGTTCAAAATTTTTTTTCTTCCATTAAAAAAATGTGATAGAATCGATATTAAAATAGTGAACAACCTAGAGGGAGCGACATATGTGGTGTTTGTTAAGGAATATTATAGTTAAGTTACATCTGTTGTAGTAAAGTCTATATGTTGTTGCAAATTCAAGGCTAAATTAGCTAGTTGGAAGAGAAGAGTGCTCTCATTTGCTGGTAGAGTGGCACTAATTAAATCTGTGCTCTCCAACCTGCTCGTGTATTACATGTCCTTATTTAAGATGCCTCAAGGAATTGGCAAGGAGATTGATAAGATACAATCAGCATTCTTATGTGGTGACTCTGATTTGAAGAGGAAGATTGACCTTATGAAGTGGAAGATTCACCTTATGAAGTGGAAGGAAGCTACAGTGAGTAAAAATCTTAGAGGCATGGGTATCAGGTGACTCTGATTTGAAGAGGAAGATTCACCTTATGAAGTGGAAGGAAGCTACAGTGAGTAAAAATCTTAGAGGCATGGGTATCAGGGACATTAAAACAGTAAATGAGAGTCTATTGGCCAAATCGTGGTGGAGGTTCGGGGTTGAAGATGATGCACTGTGGAAAATTCTGATTTGTAGAAGGTATGGTGCTGAAGGTGGGAGATGGTTCCCTTTTCGTATGGTGGATTGTAATAGCTCCTGGATCTGGAGTGATATACTTTCAGTAGTTCATTCTAATACTAGACTCTTTAATTTCTTCATGGAAAATGTTGAAATCAGAGTTGGGAGTGGGAGCAGGATTAAGTTCTGGGAGGATGTGTGGTTGGGCAAGTTTTGTTTGAAGAATAAATATCCAAGACTGTTTAGCATTTCCAATGATAAAGGGGTATCATTGAAAGACATGGTGGTTAGAAAAGGTAACAGTGAGGATTGGATCTTCAGGTTTAGAAGACTTTTATTGGCATGGGAGGAGAAGGAGTTATTAAAGTTGAAAGCGGAATTAGGCTCAGGACCAAGTCTATGCCACGAAAATTTGGATAACATCAGGTGGAATGCTGATGCTTCTGGGTGTTTCAGTGTTAAATCAGTTTTCAACTGGTGTGAGCAGCTTAATGGCTCTAGGCAAAGGCTATCTGGTTTGATCTGGAACAATTAGAAGACTTTTATTGGCATGGGAGGAGAAGGAGTTATCAAAGTTGAAAGAGGAATTAGGCTCAGGACCAAGTCTATGCCACGAAAATTTGGATAACATCAGGTGGAATGCTGATGCTTCTGGGTGTTTCAGTGTTAAATCAGTTTTCAACTGGTGTGAGCAGCTTAATGGCTCTAGGCAAAGGCTATCTGGTTTGATCTGGAACAATGCAACAGCTCCTAAAACTCAGTTCTTTACTTGGTTGGTATGGAATGGGTGATTAAAAACAATGGATTTTCTACATAAGATTGGGGCTGTTGATCTAAGAGTGGGATTTTTATGTGCTCTGTGTGGAACAGAGGAGGAGACATTAAATCATATAATGTTGCACTGTCATTTTGTATGGAATATATGGTCTAGCATAATAAAATGGTAGGGTATGCAATGGGTAGTGCCTAGTAAAATAGAAGGGCTGTTTCACTAGTGGAGTGACTGGAAGTTTAAAAAAGGGGAATTGCAGATATGGAAAACAATTCTTGTAACAATTTTTTGGTCTGTTTGGAAGCATAGAAATGATGTCATCTTCAATGAGGTTCAGCCCAACAGTGAAGATCTGTGTGAGATTATCAAGGTTAGGGTGGCCATGTAGTTGAAGTCAAATATGGTGGGAAGATATTATTCAATTAATTAGTTTGTTTCAAACTTACAACAGATCAGGAGATGTATAAAGTGATGGGTACTGGTGAATAAAGTAGAATAGTTGTGATGCTGCTAAGTGATCTTCTGGGGTATAGTAGCGGAGGTGTTAAGCTGAGGATGGTTCTGGGCAATCACAGATTTCAGGAGATGCACCAAGTGAGGTGTGATGGTTGCTGTGCTTCTAATGGTTGCTGCTACTCTTGGAACTGCTCTGCGGCTGCTGTATGTTACTGTATGAAGCAGTTCTGGTTTGTGCTGCTGAATTCATAAGGTGGCTGCTATTTGTGGTCTGTTCTGCTTTGATTGTGCTGTGTTTTGTTGCTCTTGTATTGCAGTAGGAATGTGCTTTGATTGCTCTTGTTTTGGCACCACCAGTTGGCTCTCAGTTCAAGGGATTGTTCTGCAGGTCTGGCTGGCTTATGCCTGGGTGCCTAAATCTGTTGCTGAGTTGAATTGGTGCTGATCTGTGTTCAATTGGTGTTACAATTTGGGAGTTGGAGTTGAGCCCCTAATTAAGCTCAGAGGATGCATACTTGGGAATCCTCTAACACATGAGCATGATGATCCAAATTCCAGAATTGAATTTGCTCACCGGCTTGCACATATATCAGATGGGCTTTTTGAGTAAACAAAAACAAACTGTCATGGTGAGTATTTGGATGTAGATCCCAACAATGCACCATGTACTAAGGATCTTCAACTTGTCACAAATTGGAATGATCTATTAGCTGTGGACTGTTAATATGCTGAACAAATGCTTCAGCAGAGGGGTTATAGATGAATGGTGTTCGAGGGCTGTTAGGCTGGGCTGTTGAGTTTGTAGTTTTACGGTTGCTTCTGTTTGTTTGCTTTTGTTTTTGCTCTGCATGTTGGTTACTCACCAACTTAGAGCTTGGAGTTTGTGCCTGCAGATGATTTGGTGTGCATTTAGGTGCCAACCTAGTTGGGATCTGGATGTTTCACTGTGATGCTTTTTGCACCTTTCTCTTTATTGATGTACGTTATCATACTCTATATGTTTTTCCATCAATAAAGTTATTTTTTGCTGATAAAAAAAAGAGTCTATACCATATGTTCTTTTCAAATATGTACACCATAGCAACTCCCATGTGATAATTATAAGAAAGGGAATATTTTTAGTACGCCCCCTTATATTTACCTTGTTAGGCATTTTCTTCATATAAGTTATACATTTTTGCGAGGGATGTATATAATTTTTTGGTAGAATAATGATAATTTATAATTTAGAAATGAAATTACACACTTTTGTTGTAATGCTATGCATTTTTGTGGTATAATGTTACACATTTTGTAGTTCAGTATTATTGTAAACCATAAAAATACATAATTTTATTTTTAAACTAGAAATTATCATAATTTATTAGGAAATCACCTAACATTTATCACAAAATATATAAAATGCATTAAAAAAAAAGTTTATATCCTTATATTTCTCACCAGTGAATATTGAGGAAACATAGATGGACGGTATGTTTGCCAACATCATAACAAAGTTCGCTTCTATTGAAGAAAGCTAAAAATTCATCAAATCTTTTGTCATTAATTAAAAAACTCAAATGTAATTTTTTTTTATAAACAAAAGTAACTTTTTAAATAAATTTTCAAACATATTAAAGAAAAAAATACAAAAAGAATAAACCCAAACGGCTCACTTGCTATCCAAAAACACATCTCGTAGGAATAGATTAATTACACTTTTCATCCTAAGTTTGATTCAAATTTCACTTTAGTTTCTATAGGTTAAATTTGAACAATGTGGTTCTTTCACTACAGGAAATTCGTTTTTTCGCGGCGTTTTAAAAACGCCGCGAAAATCATGAAAAATGCCGTAATATCTTATAGCGACGTGTAAAATTTTCGCCGCTGATACGGCCGCCGCAATAGCTACCTAACGTTTAAAAAACGTCGCTAAAAACATTATACGGTGTTTCCTAAAACGCCGCAAAATCTTTGACGACCGTCTCACATTCCGTCCCCAATTATCCCCAAATCTTCCGTCCCCAATTATCCCCAAATTATCCCCAATTAACGTGTGACGTGGAATGACGACATTTTGTGGCGTTTTTTCGAAAAACGCCACTGTCTTTTATTTTTTTATGAATTAAATGTGTGACGTCACAATGACGTCATTTTATGGCGTTTTTTTTTCCAAAAAACGCCACTTGTTGGTGGTGGAAACTGAATTCACAATTTGGGGATCTCATGTTTTATGTTTGCTCTATGCAACCAAACTGCTAGATTTAAAACCAATCCTCAATACATGCATAATATAATCTCACCAGAATCATCATTTCAAGTGAAAATTTCACCTATTACAAACCTATTTCCATTCTCAGTTATATTTCTGTGTGAATCCAACACAGGCACATAGACAAACACATTGTTTTGTATGGCAAGTCAAAGAAACAAACATGGATAACAACAACTGCATGTCTGCATTTTAGAAAACTGCTTCATCAACACCCCACGTCCATGTTGAAGTCTGACACTTACATAAGCAAAGCCAATGCACATAGATTAAAACCATCAACTGCATCAAACCTATACAGTAGCCCCTACAAAATGTTTGATCAAAACAACGGGCCAATCTTGCAGGTGACTTCCACAGGAGTACTAATGTATCAAAGACAATAAGACACTAAAGTTTTAACAAGAGCAAGTCCCTAAAAATATGCATCTGATGTTGCACCAGGGGTCGCCAAGGTTGAATTAGAGCTCTCGGGTAGAGGAGAAACAAGGCAGCCTTCCTCACCCACTAAAGCTGCTGGTGGAGTTAAGGATCCTTGAGCCATTGAAGTATCTGATTTTGGTACAAATTCAGGGAAGGCGCATGCAAGTATCTTCTCTGGTGACTTAGCAAGTTCTTCTCTCAAGGGCTGGCCAGCATCTGATATAATTATGTACATAAACCTGGATTTTGATGCCAATAATTTAAAACAATGAAAGAAAACAAAAACAGGATAAACTGATCAGTTGACCAAGTAAATTACTGATTAATTTTTCAATCAAAGCATCTAACCCATTTCCTATCATTATATAAACCAAAAAAGTCACGCTAGTGGGGGGAGTAATAAATGTCAAAATTATTATAATCTCAATGTAATTTTTTCACATATTCTTACACATATTATGCTGGCTGGAAGTCTGCTCCTTTGTGCCCCTAAGGGTTTCTGTTGTTATGAGGCAGATCAATTTCTAGCATGGACAAAGATGCAACTGTTAAGATTCCTCAAACAAAACAGAAGAGGGGCAATTTGTCTTATATACTACTATCTCACTGAAGTTAGGCCAAGGGGTAACAAGGGGTAATTCATCAACTCTGGTACTTCTACAGTAAAATGATGTCAAACAGTGGGCATACTTGGGAGCATTATTCATCAATATATACAATAATCTACTCCCAATCAGAAAACAAGCCGGGGCTGCAATTAGAGGACAAAAATATATATTTTCCCCCTTTTTTGCGATATGGGTACTCAAGAATTCATGCGGGTGTGTTCATAAACTAAGACAAATTAGCAGAGAATACACTAAAATGAACACATAAAGAAGCAATTTGAGGAACAAACAACAATTTCACAGCATGAAAAATAGCAAAACTGAAGTAGCATATCAAAAGAGAGGCTTACACTCTTAGGAGCATGAAGCAAATCCAACTAAATGAGATATGCTATGGTATATTATAAATAGTGTTTTATAAGCATAAGAGGTATTCTAAACCAACTATAATGGTTTAGAATGAACCTTAGTTTGTCATATCTACTTCTTCTTCTTCTTCTTTTCTTTCTTTGATATGTGAACCTGCATTTGATAAGAACAAATAACATGAATAAAATGTCATATGAACTACAGGAAATTCGTTTTTTAGCGGCATTTTAAAAACGCCGCGAAAATCATGAAAAACGCCGTAATATCTTATAGCAACGTGTAAAATTTTCGCCGCTGATACGGCCACCGCAATAGCTACCCAACGTTTAAAAAATGTCGCTAAAAACATTATACGACGTTTCCTAAAACGCCGCAAAATCTTTGACGACCGTCTCACCTTCCGTCCCCAATTAATGTGTGACGTGGAATGACGTCATTTTGTGGCGTTTTTTCGAAAAACGCCACTGTCTTTTATTTTTTTATGAATTAAATGTGTGACGTCACAATGACGTCATTTTATGGCATTTTTTTTCCAAAAAACGCCACTTGTTGGTGGTGGAAACTGAATTCACAATTTGGGGATCTCATGTTTTATGTTTGCTCTATGCAACCAAACTGCTAGATTTAAAACCAATCCTCAATACATGCATAATATAATCTCACCAGAATCATCATTTCAAGTGAAAATTTCACCTATTACAAACCTATTTCCATTCTCAGTTATATTTCTGTGTGAATCCAACACAGGCACATAGACAAACACATTGTTTTGTATGGCAAGTCAAAGAAACAAACATGGATAACAACAACTGCATGTCTGCATTTTAGAAAACTGCTTCATCAACACCCCACGTCCATGTTGAAGTCTGACACTTACATAAGCAAAGCCAATGCACATAGATTAAAACCATCAACTGCATCAAACCTATATAGTAGCCCCTACAAAATGTTTGATCAAAACAACGGG